TAGTTCACCCATCAGGGCAGTGTGCTCTGTACTTTGTTCAGCTTTCACAGTGCCCTTAAACAAGTGGTAGAACTGAGTTTAACAATGCTAAAAGGAAACAAAGCGCGAAGCATAAAAAATGAAAGATGGAAATTTTGCCAAAACTTATCCAATGACAGTCTATAAGGAATTGAAAATACCCTAGTGTAATACTGTGAGTTTACCATGGGTTGGCTTCAAATGTTTAAAAAGTACTTTAGTGCCTTTAAGCAATTTGAGGAAAGGGTCAGCACACAAGGAGCCACAAAATATACACCAGCCACCACCATTTGTACATACAGGTTGTACCTCTCTAGTCTGGCATTCTATGGTCCGGAAACTCCCGTGGTCCGGAACGATTTTAGTTTGCCCAATAGGTAGATAACCAGCTTTTTTTTTTTTTTTTTTTTTTTTACTTCTCTGAATTATTATTATTATTACTGGAGTATTAAATTTTCGCCCTCAGGCTCCAATGTGGGTCAGTGACCTGTGCCGGGTGGGCTAATCCCGTAAAAAAAAAAAAAACAAAGCCGTGGGAAATTAAGGTTTGTTTACATCCGGCAGTTCGACTCTCTCTCTCTGTTTGTTTATACAGAGTACAACATTTAACCCTTCAATATATATGAACAGTAAATAAGTGTTGCTTTCATATTCTTATGTAGAGTAATGACGATATGTTTTCGCATGTGCGCACTTACATACGCGATCTCACTTTTTTTCTTTAACATTAATGGTTAGCAACTTATATTGTTCCATTTATTAACATTAAATAACATTACTTCAAACAGCCATATTAATTTTTACATTAATTTACTACTGTTACAACCAGGGTCTTATTTTCTTGTTTTATATGTAGAACCAATCAGTCACTGGTTTTGTAAACATTAACGAAAACAAAGCCGGCAGCCGTCTCGTCTCCTTGTGTGTTTTAATATTCCACGAATTATTAATGAATTGTATTGCTCATTTTGCACACACAAACATTAATTCTAAAAAATAATCAGAAACATTAATTAAAACATACCGTATATGAACAGTAAATAAGTGTTGCTTTCATATTCTTGTGTAGAGTAATGACGATATGTTTTTCACATGTGCGCTCTTACATACGCGCAGTCTCACTTTTTTCTTTAACATATATGGTTTGCTACTTTTATTGTTCTATTTATTAACATTAAATAACATTACTTCAAACAGCCATATTAATTTTTTACATTAATTTTACTACAGTAACAACCAGGGTCTTATTTTCTTGTTTTATATGTAGAACCAATCAGTCACTGGTTTTGTAATCAACGAAAACAATGCTGTCTCATTTCCTCGTGTGTTTTAATATTTTACGTATTATTAATGAATTGTATTGCTCATTTTGCACACATAAACATTAATTCAATAAAAAAGACATTCAGTAATAAACAATAATGAATCTTTTGTACATAAGAGAAATGCCGCTGTTTACACGATTGTGCATGTCGTCTGAACGTTGGCGGGCCGTTCAAACCCGTCGAAATTCGAGTTTCCGCCGTCAAAATTTTAAATTATGTAGTGTTTTTTTTTGTGTGTCCAAATAAAAAACGTTGAATTGAAAACTCGGGAAATTTTAGAAGCTACTGTACGACATTTAACCCTTCAATATGTCTTCAAAGAGACCATGATGCAGAGAAAGTGGTGCTAGTGCTTCCAGGCATAAGCACAAGTCAATATCTATCCAGGAAAAGGGTGAATTTCCATGGTCCGGCAATTTCCATGTTCCGGCACCGGTCAGGTCCCGAGGTTGCCGGACTAGAGAGGTACAACCTGTAATAGAGAATTAGTTTTTATTTTAATATCCAAATACAGTCTCATATGAGAACAGTAAATGAGACAGTTGATAGAGTGACATATCTACTTGTACTTGTCTTCATGTGAGTGTAGGAGTAAGTTACCATATGTGGTAATTGAAAGAACACACTGAGAGCTTATTTGTCGACTAATAACATTGTGAGTGTTAGAGAATACAGTGATGAAATAAGTTAGTAAAATAAGAAAACATGCTGATATTTAAAATATTTTCCCTATTTAGCATATTTTTCCTATTATGTACTTAGGGAAAAATTATGAAAATAATTAAACAAAAACTTTGTAAATTGGACCACCTGTAAATAGTACACTACAGTACAGTATTTATTTACAAGTACAGTATGTAGGTAAATTTGTTCATTGATTTACATTTCACTTTGTGTAACCCTTTGAGGACTGATGGCAACTAGTGGTCATTACCCACTGGATGGGTGAATATAAAAAAAATGGGGAAAAAATATATAAACATTTGAATCATACCGTAAACTCCTCATTTACACCACCACGAGCATATTCCTCACCTTTGTCACTCAAATTCCCCTAAGATTAACTAGATTCACTTGTCAGATCTTAAGAGAACTTACCGTCTTCACTTGTATCACTGTCACTATGTATGGGGGGTCATCCTTGCCTCCAGAATCATGGCCGTAATGTCAGTTTCCACCTGCATGGGGTGCTGCACATGAGCAGATGTGGTACATCTTGTCTCACCCATGGTCTAGCCATTACTAATGAATGAGAGGCCTACACTGCCTCATGACAGTTGTCAATGCAGGTACTCCTCGACTTATGACCGCCACTGTCGTATAAAATATTTTTCAAATTACGTATTTTTGAGTCCCGACGTTAGCGATCGTGCTGTGTACTGACAAAATTTTCGTTTGTAATTCCCTTTAAAATGGCTGGCAAGCGTAAAAGTGAGAGTTCTCGTGGTTCTGAGAAGAAAAAGAGACACCCATTTTAGGTTTTCTATGTAATTTTCGCATTTTCGACTTACAACCTGGTCGTTGGGCCCTAACCCCGTCGTGAGTCGAGGACTGACTTTAGTCAACACAAGGAAGCAAAACAAACACAAAAAGCAAGGGAAATTTAAATTGGCCTACAAGAAATATATCACAACAGTTGCTGGAGATGTCAGGTATGGTGCTACCTCCACACTGCACCTGTTGTGGGATATACAGTATCTGGTAGGAGTTATGAATTAACAGGTAGAGTTGTGGAAATGTGTTCCTGTGGTAACCTGCGTCTCCAAACTGCAACGTTGCAGTAGTAGTATCACTATTTATGATTGAATGGGTATTGGTGGATAGGTTTGCTATAGGTCATATAGGTTGGCCGTTTGGAAACACAGGTTACCACGGGGTGTAAGAACACATTTCCACAACTGTACCTTGCAACTTGCACCTTATGTGTTTTGTTGTGAGTGTAAATTAAGCAGATTTTTTATTTATATTTATTTGTTTTAAGTGGTTAGAGAGATGGAATTTGCTTAGTTAAACTCTCGTCACTTTTGGGTAGTGGTACCATGGACTTATAGGCAGTGAGGTACTGGTGTGGAGGTTTTATCATTTGCATTGTTCATGCACTGGGAGGTATACCATTTTTTTCTTAAGTCTCAATTAGTTTATTTTAAAAGACATTGCCATGCCTGAAGGCTTTATTCTGTGTCATAACTGTGCTGCAAGAATATCGTCATTTGTGACAGTAATTTATGTTTTAAATACTGTACTTCAGTTGTTCTGGTTATTAAGAACTATTAGCAGAGTCTTAGATCCAACAATTTTACATGATTCTAGAAGTTCAGAATAATCTTCATATGTTTAAGAATGTTGCTTATTGGCAACTTTCATATGTTAACATATCCCATAATTGAAGAATAAAATATCTTAATTTACCCATAATTTATGCACATTAAAATTGTTATTGATTTTTAACAAACTGAAGTTACCATTAATAGAAGATATTCTTTATCACAAGGTGAAGAGAGGCAATCACCTGAAGATGTAGCCCTAGTATATTAGCCAACCTAATCTAAACCTAACCTATCATAACATAATCAAACCTAACCTAACACAACCTTAAACTAACATAACTTAGCCTCCCTCCTGGTTAGTGATTAATCTTCAGGTGAATTAAGCTGGGGTGGGGGGGGGGGGCAGTTTTCAGGTGGTCTGAAAGGTATAGCACATACTACTACCTGATATACCGTACATAATCAGCTTGTTTGCATAGAACAGCAAAGTGTATCAATTTAATACAGTACTGTAGTAGGATTCTCGTGCTGTTCCACTCATTCTGGTGTTTGGTCTAGAGTGGTTGGTGAATTCCTGTAGTGTTTTCTCTGTATATTTGTGTTTATTTTGTATTTTTATTTTTTCATAATTTACCAACAAATTTAGGAATATCTTAGAGCAGACCTAACTGTTTCCCTCTTTTTCCCCTATTTTCATCCATGATTATTTTTCTTTTTCTTTCTACCATACTGTGGAAAGAAGAGTACAACTATTATTTTCACGATTATTTTTTTTCTTTTATACTCCTTTTTATTTTAATTTGTCTTATTTACCCATTATTTCTTTAATTTTATTTGAATTCCTTTTTGATTTGTTGCAGAAATGCGAAGAGGAACTCAGAACCAACTGATAACACTGAACTCAAGGAAGAGGCAAAACAATAAGCAAACAAAAAACATCTGTAAAATGCGAACTACAGTACAACAATTCTGTGAAGCCATCAAGCTCAAATATATTACTTTTGATGGGTAGTTTAGGATGAAAAAGACAGTGTTTTTTTTTTCTTGAATCAAAGCTAATATGTGACTTAATGACTTTACTATTATTAACATAACTGTTATTAAAACAAGTCGTGTAGACCTTGCTGAAAAGAGTACGGTAGTACTGTATATATGGTAAAATGTAGTAATAGGGGCTATATATCAATAGGTTAAAACATTTGATTGAGGAATTCTTGAATTTTATGTATAATGTTTCCTAGACATTTACAGATTATGGTTTTGACTTAGCCCATGTATAGCTTGTGCACAAGGTATGTATGGGCGTGTGTGTGCTTCACTGTGTGTGTGTGTGTGCTTGTGTGTTGTGCCCTGCCCTGTGTGACGCCCTGTTTCTACCCTTGTGTTTCAGGAGCACTTTGAATTGTGTTAACACCTTGGGGTCGAAGCCCTTGGAGACCGAGCATGCGGCACTCATCCGCGAGCTCTCGGGTCGGGCGCAACAACAGTGTAAGGCTCCTCCCAGAGCAGTCGCTACCACTCAGCTGCCCCGGCGCTGCCTGCACAGTTTGCTCCACACTCACGACCTCTCATCCTGACCTGCCCAACTAGCCTGCAGGTGGCGCTTGGGCAGTGGTGGTGGTTTCGGCTGTGCATTTCTTTTGTAGGCTTGTGACTGGCTTGTGCTGTCCTGCTCTGGCTGGTTTGTGGCCATGCCGCCCCGCCTGAGCTGCCGCCCAACCACCCGTTCCGCCTGCCCCACTTCATTACATCTATAATTGGGCAGGCGTTGCGGGAGGTGAGCTGCCGTAGTGCTACACACCCACATGCACAAGGCACTCTCTGTTACACAGTAGATCACTCAAGTAGTCATCAGTCATATCACCAACCTCTTATTTCCTCCTTTATACAGTATTTCTCTCTTATTTAATCTGATTAATCTTGCCAATTATATTTACTAGAACCATAAGTCTGCCTGTCTTTACGTTTACTTCTTCCTTTGTCGTGCCTCATTTCATAACTTCATACAATTTATATATTTTTATTTATTTTTTTTTTTTTGCTGGAAAAGACTTTGCCCCCTTGCCCCCCAAAAAAGGATTCTTCCTGTATTTAACTGATAAATTAAGTTGTGTAAACTTCAACTTTAAACACTGAAGCTGAGACAGTTGTCACAATGTGCCTTGTGCTACGGGCAGTCTCTTTAAGCTGGTTTTTTCTTATGTTGCAGTTTTTTCATGCTTGAAACATATGATTTATTTTGTATTTAATATACAGTATTTACTTAGTATCAGAGTGTACTTGTTCTTAGTTTAGAAATCTTAAGGTCCACATTTAGTGCCTACAGGTTTTCTGGGTGACAGCCAGGTGAGAGTACTGTGTGCGCTGTCTTGGTGTGCTTACGAGTCTTGAGTATGACTGTTTGCGGCTTGTGTCTTTCACATATTTGACGAACAAGAGGTGCTGTACCAACCTTGCCGTAAGTGACTTATCATCCTTGCCAACTTTTTCAATGTTGGAGATGAAGAGAAGAGTTAACTTCCTGCTATGCTCAACTAAACCATCATTACTTAACTTCTTCAGAGGATAAATACCAGTATAAGTACTTCATAGGTATTTTTGTACTTTTTAAGCAGCTATATATATATATATATATATATATATATCACTTTTTTTTACCTTATTTTAATGACCAAGATGATGGATATTAAGTGTCTTCATTTAGCAACAGTGATATATTTTTGTTGTTTAAAGTGTAGTGTTAAAAGTTTATGCTTTAGAAATAGTTAATACAATATGTTTTTGTTCATGCAGTATAAGACAGGAAATGTAGATTATTTTACTGAACAAACAAATATGAAAGTGGGTACAGTATCATACTTAAATATGTGCTGTATATTGTCTTGTTTTTCTATACAGGGATCATAAGTACAGTATCAAGCATCTGGCAGCAATTACTTAGATATCTCGTTTTTGCTTTTTAATTTTATTTCTTAAAATTTTTACCGGCCATCATATTTTTTTTAATACAGATGTTATATAGGAGAAGATTGTTCTGCTCAAGCTTATTTTTTAATACAAGACTAAATAATGGAATGGTTATAATGCTGTATATAGATATAAATAATTTTATAAAGGTTTTGCTTGATGTAATCAGAGCTGTAGGAATATGACTCGATGAATACTTCTTTATGTCAGGCAACTGGAGTAAACCAAGAACAAGAATACTTCTAAACAACTATTCTGGGCCACTGTTTGTCAACTGCTTCTATACATCAACTTAGGGCCAAAACTAGAACCTGTTGCCATGATCTGGTCTCCATGAACCACACAATGATAAAACACTGTCAGATTGATTAATGTGTCTCAGATGAATACTGTACTGTTTATATGTATATGATATTCAAGTTTCATCTTCAAATATTGTAGTCATAATGAAATTTCTGACTGGTGAAAGGAGACTTAATATTATTAAGTAATCTTTTGATTATTAAATTGATAAGAGAGACATTGTTTAGATAATGTAAAGACACAAACATCCACATTTAAGATGTAGAGAAGCTAATGACATATGGCTGGCCAGTTTAGTAGAAAATTCTCCAAGAGTTCTGCAAGTCTTTACTGTGAAGTAATTTGGAACTATATTACAGTATGCATCCAACACTGCATTGAAATCAATTGCAAATTATATTTTGTGAAATCAACAGAAAGGACCAGTTGTCTGTGATAAAAGGTACTATTGTAAATGTTATTTATATATATATATATATATATATATATATATATATATATATATATATATATATATATATATATATATATATATATATATATATATATATATATATATATATATATATATATATATATATATATATATATATATATATATATATATATATATATATATATATATATATATATATTACCCCGCCTAACGCGGCGTTTCACTTGACGCTTTTATCATATACGCGGTGCCTCGCCAGAGCTGAACTTTCACTTAACACGGATTTTTCCCTTACATATAGGCTGGGGAGTGTCTGGCTCAGACGCTTATTTTTAGATTTGCCCCACCCGCCACCCTGCCTGACTGCCTGTTTTAGCTCATAAAATTCATACAAATTACCCGGCCAGAATATAATTTACATTGCTGGAATTCTTATAATTTAAGATCATTTGAATATAAACATCACATTTTGCATTAGATATATATATATATATATATATATATATATATATATATATATATATATATATATATATATATATATATATATATATATATATATATATATATATATATATATATATATATATATATATATATATATATATATATATATATATTACCCCGCCAACGCTAAGTTTCCACTTGGACGCTTTTATCATATAATGCCGTGCCTCGCCAGAGCTGAACTTTCACTTAACACGGATTTTTTCCACATATAGGCTGTGAGTGTCGGCTCGAGACGCTATTTCTTAGATTTGCCCCACCCGCCACCCCCTGCCTGACTGCCTGTTTTAGCTCATAAAATTCATACAAATTACCCGGCCAGAATATAATTTACATTGCTGGAATTCTTATAATTTGGTGATCATTTTGAATATAAACATCATATATTTTGCATTAGACATACAAATTTTAGATAACATTTTTTCTCTGGGTAACTATGTTATCTTTTGTGCAAAATATATGACATTTATATTCAAAATATTCCTGGTCTTACAAGGAATCCAGCAATGTCAATTATATTATCCTAACTTTAGTTTGAGGTATTATTTATTACAAAAAAGTTAAGTATTCTGGTTTTCCCACACATCTCCTTGGGACGGTTGGTGGGGGGTGGGGGGGAGGGAGGGACCGACCGACCATCTGTTACCCTGTGAAGAATATTTTTTTTTTTTATTAACTGAAGATATTTGTTTTAGCTCATAAAATTCATACAAATTACCCGGTCAGAATATAATTTACATTGCTGGAATTCTTATAATTTGATGATCATTTTGAATAATGGACTCAACTCCCTCCCCCACTTCTCACACTACACTCGCTGGCTCTTCCCTCTCTGAGAAATTTTGGGGGGAAACCAGGTATAGTAATAAACAATGCCTTAAACTAAAGTTAGGATAATATAATTGACATTGCTGGATTCCTTGTAAGACCAGGAATATTTTGAATACAAATGTCATATATTTTGCACAAAAGATAACATATTTACTCAGAGTAAACATTTTATCTAAAATTTGTATGTCTAATGCAAAGTCTATGATGTTTATATTCAAAATGATCATCAAATTGTAAGAATTCCAGCAATGTATATTATATTCTGGCCGGGTAATTTGTATGAATTTTATGAGGTAAAACAAATATCTTCAGTTAATAAAAAAAAAAAATATTCTTTACGACACTATCTGTCAATCAAAGTACCCCACCTTGTCTCCCCCCCCTCCTCCAACCGCCAGATGGTCAGTCCGTCCCAACCCTCCCCCCACCCCCCACCAATCCTCCCTTCAAGAGAAAGGTTGGGTGAAAAAACTAGATTTTAACATTTAGTAATAAATAATACCTCAGATTAAAGTTAGGATAATATAATTGACATTGCTAGATTCCTTGTAAGACCAGGAATATTTTGAATATAAATGTCATATATTTTGCACAAAAGATAACATATTTACTCAGAGTAAACATTATATCTAAAATTTGTATGTCTAATGCAAAATCTATGATGTTTATATTCAAAATGATCATCAAATTGTAAGAATTCCAGCAATGTAAATTATATTCTGGCCGGATAATTTGTATGAATTTTATGAGCTAAATAAAAAATTATACTTTCACCCGTGTAAAGGGGTACACCCACCGCGGAATGTGAGCATCCTGGGTTCTGGCAGGGCAAACGTGGAAACGCGGAATGTGGGACCGCGTAAAGTGAGGGTTGACTATATATATATATATATATATATATATATATATATATATATATATATATATATATATATATAATCAGGCACTAAGCAAGTGCTTAGTAAATATGGGTAATTGGGGTATTACAATAACTGGGCTATACTTCATACCCTACTACAGGTACATTGCCCCAGTGGTGTGCACAGCTGGTGTTTATTGCCATGACTCCAAGTTTACTTAAAGATTTACAAAATAGTTAAACAGTACAGTACTTCTATGTTTTTCCCCAGTTTTATGAGAGTAAAGGTTAACCTCAATGAAGGGTGATATCAGCACAACTTTAGTATTGGAAGCAATTATTTTTAATGGATATAGAGATTTTTATATTGTTTGAGTGGCTGAACTTAATAAATATAATATTGAGCACTATTGACTTTAGCCTACCTGTTAGTAAATACATTTAGATTGTTGCTAATTTGGTGAATTTGTAAAGTAGTAATGTGAAGTTTAGTGACAGGAATTACTCTTCCTTTGGTGGTATGATATACAGAAAACTATTGTTAAAGAAGAATTTTTACGCAATAAGACCACGCAGGGATTCAGGCCAAGCTTACCTTGCTCATTGGAGATGAATACAAATTATGGTACTGTATCTTTATCTGAGTAAAAATAATATTTACTAGCCTGACTACACAAGTTTAACTTTGATAAGTTGTAATTAAAAAATATATTATCATTGATTTTTGGTAGTTCAAATAACATACTCGGGTAGCTAGTCAAATAAAATAAATAACTGTCCATGGTAACACTTCTAGTACCTTCCTGTAATATTAACTTGAGTCGAGACAGTGATAACATTGCTTGGTTCACTCAGTGATTGTTACATAAATACAGTGACCACACAGCCCTGACATGATGAACAGTACAGTACAGTATGTTGAACCAAATACATTCTCATTTGGGCGGGTTGGGGGGGGGGGTTAAAGAATGCAAAGTAGTGTTGACAGTAATAAAGATTAAATAAAAATGAAATATGAATTAAACCAAAACATTTATAGACACATGGAAAGAGACATTGCCATGGGTAGCCCTCAGTCACATTTTGTCTCAAGTATTAAAAGTACTGGATATTACCTTCAAGAAAATATACAAATCTCATGAATAATGTTGTATAAACAGGTATTGGGGTATGCTATAACGAATCTAATTGGTTCTAGAACCTTGTTCGTTATAGCATTCGTTCGTTATAGGCCCCCAAATACAACCACTTAACACTGAAAAATATAATATAAAATTGTAAAAATTGTAAAAAAGTGCATAAATATGCATCTAAACCCCTGAAATAAAGATTATCATTAATACTTGTAATAAAAAAAACAATAAATTTGTAAAAAAAAAAAAATTTTTTTTAAATAATGTTCGTTGTAGGAGTTTCGTTCGTTATAGCATTCTCAATTTTATAGGTAAAACCGTTCGTTATAGGAATATTCGTAGTAGGATCCATTCGTTATAGCATAACCCACTGTACAGAAATGGTAAATTAATTGTGGGGGGTCAATTATTGCTTATCACGGTTAATTTTATTTTGCATTTACTTTCATGGCTGTGTCAAATTATTGCAAAGTACATTACGTACTGTATCTCAATGTCTAAATTAGTTTGATTCATTGATGATACTGTTATGTTGCTGTGTACTATGATGCTGATTATAGTGCATGTTGTGTCCTTCCAAACTGAAGCAATACAGTGTTTGGCTGCCCACCACTAGACCTCTTGAGTAAACCTTAAAAGTTAAATGTAGACTTTATAACTTAAAACTGCTTCCATTTACTGTTATCTTACATCACACATTGCACTAATTAATGAAAATATATTTTTAAGTGAGAATTTTGGGCTGGTGAAAATTGGGTTTGCACTATTGTAGTTGGTAATCCAATTATAGAAATAAATGAAAAAGTCATGGTGGACCATTGCTATGTATATTGATAGAATGCAATACATGTGCAGTAATTAGATGAAAGGGTGAGAATGAGTGTATATAATTGAAGTTTGTGTGGTACATACTGATTAAACAGAGCTGTCCTAAGAAGCTATGTTATGTGTAACCTGGACAACATCATTATGTGTGTGTTTGTGGTATACACAAAATGTCATATTTTTGGAATTTAAAAAGGAATAACTTTTATATGTTACTTCTTGGTGTGTAGATAATTCTCTTCACATGTGCAGCCTCATGTAGTCAGTATGTTATTGATGCGCACTAGTTTAGCCCACTCGTCAATATCTGCATGTGTGGCAACCCTACATACCCTAACTTCCCTGTTCCCTGTAGATGAGCATGATCTGTGTGTATATATATATATATATATATATATATATATATATATATATATATATATATATATATATATATATATATATATATATATATATATATATATATATATATATATATATTTATTTATTTATTTATTTATTTATATACACAGTATATATTTCTCTACACTGTTTCTAAATATGCAACATAGTTATACTGTATGTAATGTTAAAATATATATATATATATATATATATATATATATATATATATATATATATATATATATATATATATATATATGTATATATATATATATATATATATATATATATATATATATATATATATATATATATATATATATATATATATATATATATATATATATATATATATATATATATATATATATATATATATATATAGTATATAAAAGTCTGATTCTAAAAACATACCAGTTTGTGTGAGAGAGGTGGGCCCGCCCTGGCCCTCCCATGCAACAAAACAAGCAGATGGTAAGTGTTTACATCACAGTTAATGTTACATATATATCTCTAACCTTAAGATATTTTATTTATTTTTTCTTGCTTATGTTATATGACTATCTTTAGTGTGAAGGGGGGAGACTTGCATTGCACGATTAATGAATTAGTAATATATATATATATATATATATATATATATATATATATATATATATATATATATATATATATATATATATATATATATATATATATATATATATATATATATATACAGTATATATATATATACAGCATATATATATATACAGCACTCCTGCTTTTTATGGGATTACTTGAATCAGCCAATTATTCATGAACATATGGTTAGCAATTGGAAAATACTCATTAGTCACACAATAATACTGGTTAACATTTATACATTGAATATTGTATATTGATAAAAATATTGCAATATTTATAAAGTAGAGCCCAAATTTTGCTATATTTCTTTGTTTTATGATATTTGGTTCCAATTCACTCTGGAAATTCAATGTAAAATAATAAAAAAAGCATAGGTGACTCAGCTAAATATCCTGACAGTGCAAGAGCCAATCAATGACACAGAATCACCCACACTGCCCAGCCTGGCCAATCGGAATGCATAAGGAACTACCACCATTACCACACTGCCACCACCTACCCTTCCCTCTCCTTCACAACAGATTTCTCTTGTCTAGCCAAACAAGTCTGTGAGTTAAAAACCTTTGGTTCCCAGGAATGAAACGGGTGAATGGAACTGCTGGAATTCAGAAATTAGTTTATTTCTTCCCAATAAACCCTGGTGTCTAAAGAGAGACTTGTATATCCACAAGAGTTACCACTGAAGGCTAAAAATTTGTCACAAAGCATTATTCCCAGGCCAAACCCTTCACTTCCTGTCACCAGAGTGAACATAGTGAATGCTCCATGCAAACCTCCATTCTTCATAGAAACTAAAAGTGCTGCCACTATAATAATTTTGGACATATCTCTCAGGATCTTACTGTGGCAGCATAGTCCAAATGTTATTCAATTTCAATTTCAACTATTAATAATTATTATCATCACCTTTTATTGCCATTTTTCATGAAATTATCTGAGGCAGCTCTCCATGATGCATGGTCTCTTGCAGCCTCTCTCTTCAAGTTATTAACTTTAAAATATTTTTTACAACCTCTCCCCGTGTCATTCATGGTTTACCCCTGGCTTTCCTCCCCTCCACATTCAAACTCGTGCATCTCTTAACCCAGTTGGTCTCCTTCAGTCTCTCACTTTGCAGGGTATGGGTCACTTTAATTACCGAGTAGCAGTAACTCCTAGAGCCTGTAGCTTACCAGAGCCTGGAGCTACTAGAGCCTGTAGCTCCTTCAGACTGTAGCTTACCAGAGCCTGGAGCTGCAACATCAAAGTCAAAGCTGTCAATTTCACTTAACCTGGCTGCTTTCCAAGGGCACCATGACCTCAGAGATATTAGATTTTCTTTTTCTTTCTAGTCAATATGCCCCTCATGTCCAGACTACAGATACAGTATTTTCTCGATTTAACGAACTAATTCGAACCACCCCTTTCCGTTAAATAAAAATTTCCGCTAAATCAAACTTTCCTTTATTTTCGCTCGATTTAGCGAACTAGTTCACTAAAATGAGTGTGATTCCGCTTGGTGTGTGGGGTTTGTTTACATCCGCTCAGTCTGTGTCCTGCTGCCACCGCGTGTGTTGTTCACTGCTGCCTCTCAAGGCGGCATCACGCTAGCATTTCTATTGTCAACTTTTTCATTACTGTCAACTTATTTCACGAATCATCGGTGTTGTCTTTGGCTGTTTGTCAAACGGTACAGACCGTTTGCACTGACAACTCGTACGACAACTTCAACAACTTACCAGAGTCAACTCAAGATCTATAATTGATACTACAAATTGTTATAAAAATAAACTAATTTCTAATTTAAATATAAAGTTAAAATTATTATGAAGTAATTATTACTGTACTTTTCTTCCCAACATTACTCATTATGATGTTTAATTTCGTGATTTTAAAAGGTAAGAAAGTGTCGTTTGTTGTTTACATTTTGACCACGTGGGAATAACAACAACGTGATGGAGCCAACAGGTAAAATAATTTCCCAGGTATGGACACGCCTCTCCGAGGAGTTCTTGGTGGACCAGATAAGGCAGCGCCGCTGTCTCTGTGATCACCAGGACTCTTCATACACCAAAAAAGGCGTAGAATTGCTGCACTTTGTTCGTCATTTGGATTCATCTTGTTTGTTGAGAGTTGTCGAACGAGGGAACTGGCGAGTTGGTTCTAAACGCATGTGTGAACAGTGCACAACAAAACAGTTTGACGATTTTCTGAAAGTTGACAAAAAAAATGACGAAAGAATGCCAGTGTGACGCCGCCTTCAGTCAACTAACTATTGTGCTTAGCCATCATGCCGAAAGTCTCTCAGAAGTCTCAGAAAGGAAGTGGTGTGGGGGAGAAAAACAAGAGTGCAGCTATCACTTGGAAAAAGGTTTGGAAATAATAGAAAAATTAAAAACAAACACCAACCCCCTAGTTTAAGGTAAGCCATGAATAATGTTTTATGTACATTTCATGTGTCTGAGGTGTCTCCGTAGGTGTGAGCGTATTAACAGAATTAATCTCGATTTAGCAAACTAGTTCACTAAATCTAACGAAAAATAACGGAAAAAATACCTTCCGCTAAATTGAGGTTCGTTATACCGGATTCCGTTAAATCGAGAGTACTGTACAGGGAACCCTCGAAGATCCGGACTAAAAGCTGATTGTCCGTATCTTCCGGCTAATGTACTAAATGTATAAAAATGATATATAATGATATAAAAAACACCAAAAATACAGTACATATTATCCTGACTACTGCGGCTAGTTATACAGACTGTTTCCTGTGAAAAAGCCATAATTTTGAGCAACATATTATTGTACACACTTTGTACTCAAATGTATTACACTAAAGGACTAAAATTTTTATGTTTGTATTCAATTTTTTCACTGTCTTGCAAAGATTCCAGCATTGCAAGTTATATTCTGTTAAGTTTATTCTGTGACATTTTATAAGATAAAAACTTTAAGACTAAAACTACCTTCACCCTGTTTTGGGAATGCTTCTTAGGGAGGCTTCTTAGCCCAGAACCCCACAATTTTTTGTCTGAATCTTCCGAAATCCGTATTTACAGGGTTTAAATCTTTGAGGGTTCACTGTATACTGTTTACACCTAGACATTGACCAGGACCATCATTATCTGAAACAGTACATGGATAAGTAAACTACTGTTCAGGACTATGTGACCCAAAAGAGTTTTTAAAGTTAGTTCCTCTCCCTATTTTGAGGTCTAATTTACCCTTAATATTTGGAATTTCTTGTTGTCTCTATCCTTACTTTTAACTGGCATTGGATACATGAGTCACCAGAGCCAGGCTTGAATAGGATTACTTGAGTTCCATTTCTATTCCCATGGGGACTGCTGGGATGAGTGGGAATTGTAGGGATTAACTTGGAAAGGATGCTTTGTAGCCAAACCAAATAAGGGTTGCAGAACACATGTTTGAGTGGTAGCAAATACTTACAGCTTTCAACCTTCAATGATAAATTATGTTTACATCATGTCTCTTTATAGAAACCAAGAAATATATATATATATATATATATATATATATATATATATATATATATATATATATATATATATATATATATATATATATATATATATATATATATATATATATATATATATATATATATATATATAGAACTCTCACTTTACGCGTTAATTCAACCCTCAGGGTACCGCGGAAAGTGAGAAACGCGTAAAGTGAATAACATAACATATGGGATTAAATGAAATAGAGACCGCTGACCCTCAAGCTCCACTTTTTCCGACACAATACCTATGTTCTAGTAAAAATAACATCTTAATTTTATGATGGTACATGCACACAATTAATACTTAAGAGAAATAGAGAAATACAGTCGCCAAGTTAATGTCCATTCAAATAATGGACTCAACTCCCTCCCCCTCTTCTCACACTACACTCGCTGGCTCTTCCCTCTCTGAGAAATTTTGGGAGGAAAACCACTAGATTTTAAGGTATAGTAATAAATAATACCTCAAACTAAAGTTAGGATAATATAATTGACATTGCTGGATTCCTTGTAAGACCAGGAATATTTTGAATATAAATGTCATATATTTTGCACAAAAGATAACATATTTACTCAGAGTAAACAAAATACTTACATTAGATCTAAAATTTGTATGTCTAATGCAAAATCTATGATGTTTATATTCAAAATGATCATCAAATTGTAAGAATTCCAGCAATGTAAATTATATTCTGGCCGGGTAATTTGTATGAATTTTATGAGCTAAAACAAATATCTTCAGTTAATAAAAAAAAAAATATTCTTCAGACACTATCTGTCAATCAAAGTACCCCACCTTGCCTCCCCCCCTCTTCCAACCGCGCCAGATGGTCGGTCGGTCCCTCCCTACCAGATAAATGTGTGGGAGAAACCAGAATATTTACCTTTTTAGTAATAAATAATACCTCAGACTAAAGTTAGGATAATATAATTGACATTGCTGGATTCCTTGTAAGACCAGGAATATTTTGAATATAAATGTCATATATTTTGCACAAAAGATAACATATTTACTCAGAGTAAACAAAATACTTACATTAGATCTAAAATTTGTATGTCTAATGCAAAATCTATGATGTTTATATTCAAAATGATCATCAAATTGTAAGAATTCCAGCAATGTAAATTATATTCTGGCCGGGTAATTTGTATGAATTTTATGAGCTAAAACAAATATCTTCAGTTAATAAAAAAAAAAATATTCTTCAGACACTATCTGTCAATCAAAGTACCCCACCTTGCCTCCCCCCCTCTTCCAACCGCGCCAGATGGTCGGTCGGTCCCTCCCTACCAGATAAATGTGTGGGAGAAACCAGAATATTTACCTTTTTAGTAATAAATA